ACTTTCAGAGAAGCCAACTATATGGATTTGACGCTTCTAACAAAATTCTCACGAATTTTTCTTGCGTTTCTATCCTACCTGTTAGCCGTAACAGGACACACAAATGAACGACTCTGCAGTACGTTGGCAATAAAACCAAATGCGTCTGTCATATCCAGACCGTTTGTTTAAAAAAAAGGCTTAAAATCGTCTCCTAAAAGCAAATGCAACAGAGGTGAGTCGCTGCAGGTCCAACACACCTGTTACAGCCTCCTGCAGCCTGCTGTGTCACTCAGTGCCCGTGATCCACCAAACGTGCTGCAATCCATGCGTCGGTGAGGTGCGTCTCTCGGACTTGCTGAGAAAGACAAACTGCTTTGCAGCTCCTCTCCGGAGCAAGTGAGGGAGCCACGAGAGCGCGAGCTGTAGTGGCCAAGGTCATCTTGGCAGCAGTGGCGTCGAGAGCCCAAGGCCCAGAAAAGGGGGGCGTGCTTCACATTGGCAGAAGGGCATGTCAAGGGCGCAACAGGACTTTAACAGACCTTTGCAAGTGGAATCTGCCAAGCTTTTCTATCCCCCTGACCTCCACATTGCTCCCAACGTTCCTCACGGGTTGACTTCCCAAAAGCAAAAGAATTTCGAAGCTCAGCGAACTGTCTAGTTTTAAGAGAAAGGAAAACTCCCAATTCCACGTGGGACAAATGCAATGGTGCAGAAGTCTGGTTTTGCAAGGCTCTTACAGGGAAAGCCACATTGGGTGGGAAACTGGGAATGATGGTTCGGAGCATATCCGCGTAGGAAGGACTTCAAGGTTCTGCATTAACTAGATCCACTTCATCAGGCTAGGCGCATTCACACATCCTTGGTTAGAGTTAACCCGGGTTGGATTTGCCTATGGTTTATCCACACATCCATTTGCTCGGGCACCAGGATGGTGCAATGACTGTTCCTCAAAGACCAAGAATGTGGCATAATCCTCAGTCCGTCCCCAACCCTCTGCAAAGGCAACCCCTCCTTGTCTTTTCTTCTTCTGACCAGAATTCTGCTAGTTTTCCCTCTAGCCAGAGACAGGAAGACTGCTAGACTCTTTTCCCCGCTAGTCTGCCATGCCGCTACAGCAGCCATCTTGACTTTTATGACCCACTCGTGCTCCCGTGCTAGGGGACGTCAACAGAAGGGGCCTCAAAGGAAAGATTCATCCCTGGAAACCACATGTCCCCAAGGACCTACCCACGGAAAGGAACACAACTTGGGCTTGGTCTCCGGGGATAAAGCAGCAGGGGAATCTGCCAATCGGGGACCAGGCGTGCAAACCCTGAAAAGGGGTTAA